TTTTTTGCGCCAGTCAGCGCGGACGCCGCCGGGGGTGGAAACTCGCGGGGCTCGGGGTTCGCAGCGCCTCAGGCAGCCTGTGGGCCGGGGTTCCGGCGCGGGGCAGGGCTCCCGGCGCCCGAGAAGAGGCTCGCTCCGTGCGCAGTTCCCCCCACGGTCCCCCCTCATTTGCCTTTGTGTGGATCCTGACCCGCCGGCTCCCGGCCGCGGGGATCCGGCCACCGCGCGGGGTGGGGAGCTGCCGGAGGCGCTCTCCCCGCCGCGGCGCTGCCCCAGACTCACCCTCAGCGAGGCACAGAGTCGCCCAGTGCCCGTCTGGCTCTCACTTGCCCCGGCGCTGTCTCTATGGAGCTCAATGTACTGCAATGGCTGTGAGAGCGGGAGCCAGACGCAGCCTCCTCACTCTCTCCGCTCTGTAACATTACTCTCCAGCCAGCGCGGCTCCTATTGGCTACCGCCAACTCACGGGGCTCGCTCATTGGCCCGATACCTCCCATTGTCCTGACCAGAGCCCGTTTACTATTGGCTGTCTCCGGGGACACGTCATCAAGGATTGAAACAGCGCGCAAATCTGAATGTGTGTGTATGCCGGGCAAAGAGGCTGAGGCGGGAGAGGCAGAGGCAGAGGCAGCAGCTGCTACGGGAAAGCAGAGCTCTATGGTGTATGTGTGCATGTGTCTAACCCAAGCCAGCCCCACACCGGAGCGGCCGCCGGGGCGAAAAGGGCCTGACTTTTCCACAAGTGTCTCCAACTCCTCAGGCAAAAGAGACACTCACAGGCCTCCCCCCCCCTTCTTACCCCAAACTCACTTCCAAAGCCACTGAGATAAGAGGCCCCAGAATTTTAACAGACCTTCAAAAGTGAGGGCGACGGTACGAGATCACGTCCCCTGAAAACCGGGGTGTCTGCTAATGCAGAGGGGTGAAGGCAGCCAAGATTCGAGCCCCTCAACAGCATATGGTTGCGTTACCCTCTAGATCTCGGGAAAGGCAGGGCTTTTCCTCTAACCAAGTGACACGATCCAGTCAGCCGGTTTTAAAATACCCCTTTTCTGGGCTCATAAGCCGGACCGACAAGCTTGCTGGGCAGCCGAAATCTTGACTCCCTGAACAGGCGTTCAGTTTCACTCTTTCTCTTGGTTTGATCGAGTTTCCCAGCATGTCTAGAACTTTTTATGTAAATACAAAGCACTGTCTTAACTTCCTGGAAATCAAATAATTATTCCATGTAATTAAAGCACAGCTCCCTCGTTCTGATACGGGGTACTCTAGCAGGAACCGTTCGTGAGGGCCTGCTAGAATTAGCAAATTCATTAGAGACCACATTTTTAACTGTTTGGCTGTTTTCTTTGACTTGGTGTGGATTACTGTTATAATCAAACGAATCCTTGTGATGCTATCTTTCCCTCCCATCACACCACTTAGTGCATCCATGTAACTGCTCTAGGATTACAGCAGTTGTAGGTGTATTGTTACCCGAGGATTAGATGCAGGCAGAGAGTGCGTATGCCCAAATCCACAGGCTGTGGTTTCTCTAACTCACCAAGCTGGCTGGTATTAACAGACATACTTATTACGTCTGTAAAGAAAATGTACTAGCTATAATGGCCAGTTCTGAAGGCTATACTTCTATCAGTCTTTTATGAAACTATTATCTATGCCTCCTAAGCCTATGCAGACCACACCCCTATTCGGTTATAACAGACTTCCCCTTTTTCACTCTCTAATGGAATGTTTATACACTTTTAAATCCAGCAGCCAATTCTTCCCAAATGTGATAGATCTAAGTTAAAACAAGTCATTTTCTTATGTTAATTTCACTTCTTATATCCACTCTAAGCATCCATAACCTAATGTGTTTGCTCCCATTTGTTAGGCTCTTTGAGAATAGGCTCCGATAACCTTTCCTGACCTATAGATAACCTTTTTAAAAAGGCTGGTCTCAGGGATTACAGTCCTGTGGAATGGACAATACATACAAATGCACCTGAAAATCAGCATACTATTAATATATAAACTAGCATAACGTACATGCAATATTTAAAACGCTAACATCTAAAGGTAACTTTTATTTTGTTATTTTCACACATATTTACCCTTGTCTACTTTCTCTATGAATCACATTTTGCGATCCATTCAAATCTACATATCTACCTCAATTCTGCTTTACCTTCTCGGGGCCTATATTACAAAATATTGATAAAAATTGTCTACATTTTAAACGGCGTCCATGATATCAAAATCTGACTATTATTTGAAGATAGCACTATCAGCATTTTTCGGGAGCAATGTTGGATTTGCCCTGTCCCAACGACACAACTTTTACCAGTTTTCTGTAATAGCTAACTCCTGCCAGGCTAAATTCATGGTCACAGAACTGCAGGAAAGTATGGGCCCACACAGGTTTCTATTTCAGCAGGATGGTGCGGTGAGTAATAGGCACTAGATTTAAATAGAGACCTGGGTTCAAACCCCAGCTCTGCTACTTACCAGCTTTATAATCTTAGGCAAGTTTTTTTTTTTTTTTTTTTTTTTTCCCCTTCAGGTGTTTATTTAAATTCTAGTTAGTTAACATACAGGACAACATTGGTTTCAGGAGTAGAATTGAGTGACTCATCACATACATACAACACTCAGTGCTCATCATAATGAGTGTTTTAGGCAAGTTTTTTAACCTCTTTGTTGCTTCTTCAATTCTCTCAGTATAACATGGAGGTGGTCACAGGGTTGTTGGAAAGATTAAACTTTTCTTTCAAAGGTTTCAAATTGTGTCATGCACATCGCTTCAAACCCATGATTTAGCAAGCATCAAGTACAGTTAACTTGGAGTTTTTCTTTATTATTTTTAATTTAATGAGGGCAGTGGTTGCAAATCTAATGAAGCCTTTTTATTTCAATCCTAGACTCAAACACTAATCTTCATCCATTCTGGTGAAGATGCCTTTATATATTCCCAAGTGTAACAGAGGCCAGGTCAGAGGAACATAAAAACCTCCACTTACAGGCACAACATTTCTCATGTTTGTTTTTCCATTATATAGGGAGGGAAAGGCATAACAAGGAAAGAAGCTTTTCAAGAAACCCTACAACTTCTAGCTCTAATCCTGCAACCTTGATGTTCACTTATTCATGATGGTAGACCCCTTCCTTCCTCAACATGAATCACTGGCCAGAAACTGGCATACAGTTTACGTTAGAGTTCTTGGGTGTTTGATCTTAAATTACAAAGATACCTAATTCAAAAAGCCTGAATGCTCTCTCCCATACCTCATTTAGCTAACTGAACTGCAGATCTTCACTAATACAGTTTACACCCTTGCTGAAGCCTGCCTCAATCTCCTCTACAGGGTAGGTAACGGGCCTCTCTTCTGCGATCCCATAATATTCTGTGCATTATTTATCGTGTTCACAAGTGTGCTTATCCAGTTATGGGTCTGCTTGTCCTACTGCACTGCATCCCTTAAAGGCAGGGACCCTAGCTTATCTTTGTATCCCAAGCACCTACCAGGGTGCCTGGCATCTGGCAAGCACCAAATAAAGTCTGTTGAATAAATGAATTAACAGCTGAAAGAGTACTTACTGCAAATTATTGTTTTAATCTTCCTCTTCCATCTTTGGAGATAAGCATTGGGGTCTCTCTAAATCAGAAGGCAGGAAAATAGAGTAATAAGTAATAAGTAAATGTTAGGATACGAAAAGTGAGGATAGATGCCAACTGCATCATCATTTTTTGTTAAATGTTTATTTGTTTTTGAGAGGGAGAGAGAGTGCACGCAAGCAGGGGAGGGGCAGAGAGAGAGAGAGAGAGGGGCAGAGGATCCGAAGCGGGCTCTGCGCTGACAGCAGCTAGCCCGATGGGGGAATCGGAGCTCGAACTCATGAACCACAAGATCATGACCTGAGCCGAAGTGGGACGCTTCATTGAGTCACCCAATGGGCTGGAGGGGATCTCAAATTTAGACAAACACACACATTTTTAGCAGTTAACAGTTTCCAACTCGGCCAAGGTTATTCCTTGTTGGATACAGTGGACTATGGCAAGCCAAATAAGAATTTATCGCAGAAAACTGCAAGAATGTCTGCCCAAAGGTTGCTTCCAACAGACATTTGAAACTTAACTCTAACGTAAAAAAATACAAAATGCAGACGGGGCTGTTAAGTCTTTGGCCGAAGGATATTAATTCCTCCCCCAATGCAGTGAGTCCTAAAGTCAAGCTATGTGAATTGTCCTGTTGTTTCGCTTCGCGACAAGGGCCAGGTTCTGAAAAGGAGTAGAAACAGTAAACCAAAATGTCGGATGAGGTCAACCATACTACGGATCATACATACTTAAAAACCTTTTTTCTTCAAGGGTGCTTAAAACAAAGGAGAGAGGAAATCAGGAAAAGAAGAGCACAGGTTTGTGAAGTTTGGACTCCGAGCTAGGACACTGAGTTCCAAGTGCCCTCCTCCACCCCCCACCCCCACGCTCATGGACTTCTGGTAGCCCCTAAGGCCTGTGCTCCGTTTCCCCCACTCTTACTTAGGACTAGTGAAACCTTGTCTAATTCGAAAGGATGTTACGGGATAGGCACAAAGCAAGACCAGAGGCAGGGGGCTGAGAGGTGGTGTTACATTTGTCAGTGCGTGGAGAAGGCCAAGCTGGTCCTGAGTTGCTTAAGTATTTCTGCCCCAGCCAGAGTTTTCTGTCTGTGGCTTGCAAGTAGGGAAAGGAGTGAGATCAGCTGTGGGCTGCATTGATGGTGGAGGCAAGAGAAAACAGTCCTGAAGCTAATTTATACCAATAATATCTCTAGAACTGGAATATTTCACTGGTGAATAAGGAAGAGATAGCACACCTTTTCTTAATAGGATGCCTGTTCTCTCGCCAAAGAATGGTACACACGAGGAGGGGAAAGCTTATCAGCAAAACTTTTTGTAAAACAATGATCTAAATTCTTTTTTAACATTTATTTATTTATTTTTTGAGACAGAGACAGAGCAGGAACGGGGGAGGGTCAGAGAGAGAGGGAGACACAGGATCTGGAGCAGGCTCCAGGCTCCGAGCTGTCAGCACAGAGCCCGACACGGGGCTCGAACTCACGGACTGCGAGATCATGACCTGAGCCGAAGTTGGACGCTCAACCGACTGAGCCACCCAGGCGCCCCTCCCTGTAGAACAATGATCTAAATCCAACAAAGATCACTCTTTTAGGTCTTGATCTCAAGAACCCCGTCAACAGCCCAAATTCAACTGCTGTATTGAAAGTGTCGCAAACCTTAGGAATCAATGTCTTAGCATACCTAGGACGGCTGTAAGCAAAAAGACAGACGACAGCAAGTGTGGGTGAGGATGTGGCGAAATTGGAACCGTCATAGACGGCTGGTGAGCATGTAACATAGTGCAGCTGCTTTGGAAAACAGTCTGACAGTCCCTCCGAAGGTTAAACATAGAATTACCATATGACCCAGCAATTCCCACTCCTAGGTATGTATCCAAGAGAAACAAAAACATGTCCACACGAAAACCTGCGCATGAATGTTCACGGCAGCCTCATTTGTAATCATCAAAACGCGGAAACGATCCAAATGCCCGTCAACTGTGGCGTGTATGAGTGATTAATGAAATGTGGCAGATCTATATGGCTGCGTATTATCAGCCATAGAGGGGAATGAAGGACTGATGCATGCTGAACACGGATGAACCTTGGAAACATCAGACTCCGTTAAAAAGGCCAGTGACCCAAGGCCACGTATTGTAGGACTCCATTCATATGAAATGTCCAGAATACAAACATTTATAAAAATGGACACTGGATCAGTGATAACCAGGGGTTGGGAGCTTGCAGGGGAAGGGAGTGACTGCTAATGGTGATGGGGCTGCTTTTAGGAGGCCAAAAATGTTCTAAAACCGTTTATGGTAATGGTTGCATAACCCCGGGAATATACCAAAAACCGTTGAATTGTATGGGAGTTATAGTTCCATAAAGCTATTTTTTTGAAGAAAGGAATAAATGTTTTTATGAGTGGTTTTGATTGCCAAACATAGAAGGGGATGACAGAACACTACCCAACTTGCTAGTTTTGTCCAGAACTTTCCTGTTGCCCCTGGTGTTTAACACCTCGTGAAAACGAGAACCGTTCTCTTCGTTAGGTGAAGATTTCATCAATGGTTGGAGTTACACGTTACATGCTTAAAGTGTATTTGTGCTACAAAATAATGTGAAGAGAGTACTGTCCAGGGGTACGTTGGGAAGTTTTTCTTTTCTTTTTTAAATGTTGATTTATTTTTGAGAGAGAGAGAGAGAGAGAGAGAGAGCACGAGTGGGGGAAGGGCAGAGAGAGAGACAGAATCCAAGGCAAACTCCAGACTCTGAGCTCGTCTCTCTCAAAAATAACTCGTGCTCTCTCTCAAAAATCAACATTAAAAAAGCATTTTTAAAACTTCACGTTTTCCCACCTAAGCCTACCTCCTCATATCCTCATGGCAATTCTGACTTGCATTTACGGCCTTGGCTTTCAAGGTTTCTGGATAGGACCAATACAGTTTGTATATATTAACATTTGAGAAGAAGTTCCACGGAACAATACCTACCATTACTGCGACACCGTCTGATTTTTCTCCTTAAAATCCTAAATTTACTTCGCAGCCCACCATCAGGCCCCTCGGTTTGCAAAATGCTGCATTGGGGCTGTCGTAAGCAAGCCCTGTTTCCCGACAAGGGTGGTAGCATCAGCCCTTAGTAACAAGTGTGGGTGCTGCAGGCTGACTGGACAGGACTGAAGAGACGGGCAGGCCGGGAGACATGCCCAGCACCCAGGTCCTGAGGCCAGAGTGCTGCAGCCCAGCAAGGGAGTTTAGGCACCAAGACTGTGGGACTGCCCCCGAGACTCTGAAGACGGGAAAGGGGAGTGCTCTGCTCTGCCGGGGAGACCCAAGACAAAAACCAGTGCTCCAGGCCACAGGCCTCTGGGAAATGCAAAGAGGTTGACTGCCGGTCCCCAAGGCCTAGGAGGGCCATCCGGGCAGCCCCGGTAAATATCCTCACCGGAGCGAGATTCCCCACCTGGCACTTGCCGCTAACGAAAGCCAGAACTCGGAGTCCCCTCTGCCCATCAGGCACTGGACTGGCGGGGAAGCTGGCCTCATCTCCCAAAGTACCAGGCCTTTCTGTTTCCAAACACAGAGCACCCAGAGTGCCTCGCGGGACTAAACAGAAGCTGATTGCGGACCCATAACTGTGGCTCAGGAGGAGGTTAATAAAAAAAAGAACAGAACCAGCAACACAACGATGTGTATACTTTTTCGGAAAGGTTGCCGTTGATCCTTGTTCTAAGGTTTTCCTTTGGCTTCCAAGAATGAGAATAAGGAAGTAGGAAGGAGACAGCACAACTTGCTATATCCTAACATAAGTGCTACCGGCAAATTGGTACCACATTTGGAAGCAGAACTCTGATTTGGAAACATTCATGGCATTTCACCAGCGGTTTGGCTCCTAGGAACTATTTAGAAAATAATCAGAAAGAAGTAAAAAAGCACAAAAAGTTTGATGAAGAATACTAACTGTAGCATTATCTACAAGGTGGAAACGACCTACATTATCTAATAACAGGGGCTTGGTTAAATAAATTCTGGTCCATCCTTCTGACGGATTACCACGGTGCGGCTACCAAACTGTTACGAATACTAAATTTAACGACACGTAAAAATATTCACAGTATCTTATCAAGGGTCCCTGGTTTGAAAAAAAGCGTGTACGTAAATCCAAAACAGAATGGAAGGATATACTAAAAAAAAAAAATGTCAGTAGTGTTTATTACTGGCAAAAGGTTTTCTTCTTTACTCTTCAGTATTTCCTCAGTTTTCTACAATCAAGTTACATTACTTCTATAGTTAGAAATAAAAGCCCCTAGGGGTGCCTGGGTGGCTCAGTCGGTTGAGCGTCCGACTTCAGCTCAGGTCATGGTCTCACGGCTCGTGAGTTCGAGCCCCGTGTCGGGCTCTGTGCTGATGGCTCAGAGCCTGGAGCCTGCTTCGGATTCTGTGTCCCCCTCTCTCTGCCCCGAGCCCACTCACATTCTGTCTCTGTCTCCCTCAAAGATAAATAAACATTAAAAAAAAAATAAACATTAAAAAAAATTAAAAAAAAAATTCAGACTTCATTACTCTAGAAACTCTTCCCTATGAGGAAATATACTATATATATATATATATATATATATATATATATATATACACACACTATACTATATATACATAAATCATGCACATTTGTCATAGCCTTGAAGCAAAGGCATCTCCATTGTTATCCAAAGGTGACCATCCTGATAACACAAATCAGAATTAGGTAATTGTTGGAAAGAAAAGTATTAGCATCGACTTGAAACAACTTTTACCTCTCATCTCTACTGAGGTGTCTTCTTTAGTGGATACTCCTTCTTTCTCCATAATTCAGTCCCCAGTCGTCTTTTTGCTTCTTTGCTCTCTTGGAGACCTAGGCAGCCCACTCCACATTGACTCTTAACCTCCGTCTCTATGTAAATAGCCCTGAACTTCCCTCTTAGCCCTGGTCTCTCTCCTGGACCCCACCACTTAAACTGACTTCACAAGCTCACCTTCCTGCCTGCTCTCCAGAGGACGCCTCTTTCCCATTTCTCC